GGAATTGTGCTCCACACACAGAGTGGCTGGAAAATCCCAGACTATCTCATATGGTAAATATCGCTGTGGCATCTGTTTACCTATGGGTGTGTAAGGCAAATTATGGTTTGCCTTACATATCAGAACTCGAGTCTAAGTTAAACTTTGTTGGTCCACACTTGAAGGACTACAAGCGATGCTGGAGTGAAACTCGCTCTTCGCCATTTCTGCCTTGTGTAGCGTCACTTGAAATTTATGAACTCCATTTCGCATGTATGGCATTGTGAAGATTAATTGCCACTGCTTTCTCTTATTCCCCCCTTATATTCCACACTCTTTCTCGCATTCTACTATGTTTTTCATTGAGGCGGACTGTTATCATTCAACAGCAGGCCATGTTAGGTTCGTTAGTACTTGTAGTGCATGTTTATGATGGGTTTTTTGTGCTAGAACGAGTATACAAATCTAGGCAGAGCCAAAGAAATGACATCGACATGCGGCAAATATATGAGCTCAGAACACGCTACGCTTATAGTTTAACGGGTTTGTAGTTTCTAGTGCAGTTAAAAATATATTTAATTTAAAGTAAAACAAGTAAGAATAGTATACTCTAGCTCATGCTAGAATCCATGACTATTACTGAAGTGTCAACGAATATAATTTAAGGCAGCACATGATTTTGTTCTCAAAATCTGCAACATTTGCCCATTCATTGAACTCGCTTTCAAATATATAATTAAATTTATCGAGCATTGAATGAGCAGCTTCTGCTAAATGAAATTCATTTCAAATATCTCGTACTTTTTAAAAATGTAATCCCATTAGTTTTATTGCTGCTGCACACACTCGAAAGTTTTATGATTGATGTTATCCTTACTGCTGGTACACTGACCAGATTAAGTACGATTGCAGCCCAATAGATTGAGCCATTATCCATAGCCACCATGGTACCATTGCTATGGTTGTAGCTGCTTTTCAGTACTTTAATTGGCATTTCAATAATTTTAATGGTATGTTCTGCTCTGCAGTGTGTATGGCATTGTATTTCCTGGCTGCCAGTCAAGGACTATACTTGTAATGCCTTATTGTGGTCTACTGCATTTGAGAACTGTGCCAACTTTGCCAATAGTTCCACAAAAGTCAATGAACGTTGTTTGGTATAATAACACAATTATTTCTTTCTCCCTTTTAATTGCCTTTGTTCCTGACTTTTCAGAGTTCGATCGCTTAAAAAAATGCTTGCATTCAAAAAGAGCAAAAATAATTACCCTGACCGAGACGTTATTTAATTGATAAACATTACAAATTACATAAAATAATATATATGTTAAAAATATATTTTTTAAATTGAAACTACTGAGTTCTGCTGAGTTGTAGATGAATCGTAGAAGGGTTACTTGGTTGGTCAATAAATTTATCAAAACTTGTAGGTGAAAAACAATAGTTTAAAGACATATCTCTTCCATGTTTGAAGTTAAGTTAAAGTGGTTTTAATCACTTCAGTTGTCTTACAAAGTTTATTGTTTATTCTTTCTTTATGTGAGCAAAGTTTTTCGCTCATTTTACGCTGTCGGCGAGATTAGATCACAAAAAAACTTAAATTTTAGTATCTGTAAAGAACTTAAATACCTACATATTTATTAATGCCTTTTCAGCAGGGTATTTTTTAGTCCAATTCTGCCCATGCTTGTTGTGTTTGCCTATTCTATTATTTCATTTTGTACGCTTTAGCTGCTGTACAAGTTACGCCTCAAACGTTTTTCCGATTTTGCCATAAAAAATGGTGTTGACATTGAGAAAAAAGAGGCAGACAATGCAGAGATATCATAAGTCATGTTTGGCAATTTATGGCGTTTATCGAATTTTCAACGAACGTTGCCAAAGGCCAACAAAAATATTAATAACTCGGTCTTCATTTAAAACAGAGTCAACGGCAAAGGGTCTGTGAGCACCAAAGATTAGGTAGAATAGGTAAGAATTTTTAAAATATGTATCAGAGCTGCCTTTCAAAAATTTTGTGATAGAAGAAGAGTCTTGTCAAAGTTTTAACGCTGCACATATGTACATATATATATAAACGATAGCAATTGTTGTTGAAAGTCATGCCTGCAAAAAAAATGAAAATGGTCTGATGGCTTTGTCTCGATTTCCTCTGGGTGTGCATTTTGGCACGCTTCTTTCATTTGTCAACGTAATGCAAAATTCATTCAGAATAATTGCCAGCGTTGACCAATTACAATTAAAATAAAGCAACACCTGTGTCAACAGTCACAGCAATCCCACCCAGAGCGGCCCCAAAGTGCTCCAAGGGGGTTGCTTGGTGAACAATATGGCGACAGGCAGGACGAGGCAGGATGAGGCAGGACTATCAATCATGCAGCTTGGCTCCCGATTTCAATCTAAATGCTAAATGCACGCTCAAGTCTTGATAAATCTACTCGCCGGGAGGGATTTCTAGGCCACCGAGTTCGCTCCCCTCGCACATACACACACAGAGGCGACACAGCAATTAATGAAGTGCGCTTAATTAATAAAAATAGAAACATTTCTCTGCAGCATATTAATAAACCAGCAAGACTGCTCTCGACAAGTTTGTTCGACTAACAAATATCTTATCTTCATAGTGTGTAATTTAATTAGATTGTTGACTTTCTCTTTAAATACAAAATAATAATATTAAAAGATAATTGGTAGATAGGTAAATGACATCCTAAACCACACTATCTACATTTATTTAGATAAGAACTTAGCGATGGCAAAGTAAATACAAAGAGTTTTTGGCTTTAATACAGAATAACTAATATTGTATCTTCCATTCGAATCGCTTTCGTAACACTCCGAATTATGTTTAATTTTATATTCTATTTGGTTAAAAAAAATAAGCAAAATAATAATAATGTTATTCTTCCCCTGAATTGTGTGCTCCTTAATGTGAATGTAATAGGTGCAGAGTATTATCCAAGCATTAACCAACTTGCGGCAATGCAAATAATTTAATGCGTTTAATTAAAAAGCAGCACAAAAGTTGCTGGAACAAATGAGTAGCTCCAAAGCTGAAAATTGTTTTTCCATCCCAGACTTGCACATACACACACACAGAGGGAGAGAAGCACACATACAAATTGGGTGCTAATTAAATTAAGAAGCAAACGAAATAGTTTTGCACTTGCCTCAAAAGTCAGCCCTGGCAACTTCCAACTTTACTTCCGTCCGTTTCTTTGCTCTCTGTTTGTGTTCTTTGCGTGTAAATGAGCTCAAATTTGTTGTACAAATAGCGTGTGCGCTTTAAGGCAGACGAAGGGATGATGAGCTGGGTGAGCTGCAGCCACAGGCTTTAAGTATGTGCGCCCGACACTTTTGCATGTATGATATCAAAGTGCACTGCCAGAAATGTGCACGTGAATTTCAATGAAATTCATAGAATTTGGACAATGTTACTTGGCAAAAATAAACAAGTGGAAAAGCTGTAATTGAAAGATGTTGACTAAGAGATACCCTGTACCCAGCTGTTAAATGTTTTATTCTAGTCCTATTGGCAAACTTCCCTGTGCACACTAAATTGAATGCTTACATGGAAGTACTCGCGACCGGACCGATAATTACATAATTCCTTTTTTAAACAATTTTTAAAGAGTTTATTTCATTTGTATTTAATATGACATTATAGTTTATGAAATATCTCGCTTATAAATATTACGACTTAGAAAAAAATAATAAATGCTAAAAATATATCTAACTTGTGAGCATGATATAAAAGCTAAACATTATTGCTGAAATGACGATTACTTACGGTGTATTTAGAGCATGCAAATCTGTAGCCACGAAAACAATTGCAAATTATATATGCGCATATGTTAGTGCAATGGCAAACAACTTAAAAAACAAGCAACACTTAAAGCAGCAAAACCACACAAAAAATAAAGAAGAATCCAACTGCATCTTCAGCTGCGTCTGCTGCGACTGTTTTCCATCTGCTCGGTTGCTGTAGGAGTAGCTTTGGGTCTGAGTCACCGCAAGGACGACCACAGCTCTGGAGTGATTGCGAACAGGGCGCAAAATGTAACGCATAAAACTAAAACCAACAAACGGGACGAATACTTAACACAGGATTGGGTTGGAGTGTAGTTGCTGTTGCCGGAATCGGAAGTGCCAGGCAGCAACAAGACAAGCCTTAAGGATGCTGGAATAGCTGGGATAGTCTCACAGTGGAATCGGGCTAATGCTGCCGGGTACAGCAGGCGAAAGGCTCAAGCATGCTTGAGATGCAAAGTAAATGCAAAACCACTGCAAATTATGTTGAGAGCTGGATGCCGAGGCAACGAATGCAGTTCAAGAAAATGGCTTGGTTGCGTCCTATCCGATAAGAACACAGCGGCGCTCAAGTGATTTTCCTTGAGTGTGTACCTTGAGCAGGTGTCTGTTGAACCATTATGTTTAGTTGCAGGCAATTTGTTTTTACCATGTTCCCCAGAACGCGGGCGAGCAAGAAACCTGAAACGAACATTTTTAAGGCGCAACAAATTGCATGAGACGCTACGCTAGTCGACTCTACGTTGATTACACTTCGCAACAATAAAATGCTAAATAAGAACACCATATCAGAAAAAATTAACAATGAGAGCAAAAATATAAAAGCAAACAATGGCAGATATAATATAAAAAAAAGATAATATAAAAAAAAGAAAGTGCAAACAAATTTTTAAAATGGTTATGTGAAAGTGGTATTAGCAAAAATTAGAATGATGATAAAATAAAGTACAGTAAAGAAAAACTGCTGGACTGAGCTTGACCACAAGATACCCTGAATACACTTTGGACTAAAGCTGATGTGCTTTATCTGCGCGGTATATTTTTTATTTTATTATTTGCACAGTTCTATTTCGAATTCTACTACGCACTGTTAAACCAACACTTTGCTGCCTAGTGTTTTATTTTAAGCTAGTGCACAGAGAACCAGTTTATTAAGTTTGCCAGCAACAAAAAGTAGTCTATTTAGTACAAGTAGCAATAGAAACAATCGCTCACAGCTCATCATGTTCGACCAGAGTATAGCGATGCTTCGAGGGTCCCAGTTCCTTGAAGGTGGATAACGGCGGCAAGTTCTTATCTTGATCCTTTGTAAGGTGCAACTTGTGCTGCAGTTGATGACTGCTGAAGTTTTGAAGGAATTGCTTGAGATGACCTGGTATATACATATCCTTAAATTTGGAATAGGGAAACATATACTTTAGCGAATCGATGGCGATGAATGGTAGATCATGCACTGTTTTGCCAATGTGCTGTACCGAATGCTGAAACTTCAGACCGTCGACGGTAACAAAATTGAAACGTCCACAATCCGAACAGCTCACCAATTGCATCTCCACAATCGACTTGAAATCTTTCACCGAGTCCACATCGTTGGGCATGTGAAAGAGCACCAGCAGCGGCAGTCGTTGTTCGATTATCTCCTCCACATTACCGAAATCCACCTCCCGCACTAGCGGCACACACTTCTTGAAGACCCACTTCTCCAGCTCTGGCAGAGATGATGGATTGCCGGCAAAGACCTCATCCGCGGCATGGGTGCGTTCCACATCCGGACGAAAGACAATCGTTGGCATATAATGCGTGTACGTCATGTCGTCCAGCTTTGCGCCGACTCTCACATAGAAATCACAATCGTTTTTATAACGCTCCGCCACCAGCTCAAAGATTCCTGCGTCAGGCTTCTTGCGGCTCTCAAAGAAGCCAATCACAGTGCGCCTCTTCACATCGATCATATTCAATTGTTGCACATTATCCAATGTTTTAATCGTCAATCGAAGCTGCTTCTGCACATGGGCGACCAGTGCCTCAACGGAACGCTGTCCACGATACTCCTGACGTAGCGGTTGACCACGATAATACAGAAGTAGAGTGGGAAACTTGGTAATGCTGCAGAGATTGGCCAACTCCATTTCACGCATGCAATCCACACGTGCCAGACGAACACTTGCTTCCGGCGGGAGATCCTCAGCCAGTCGCACAGCTGCCTCCTCAAAAATTGGTGTCAGCCGATTACTGAAGTGGCACCAATCCGCATAGAAATTTATAAATACCAACTTATGCGAGTGTACCGTACTATTAAAATTGGACTTTGTGATCTCTAATACAATAGACGCTGATAATAATGGAGTTGACGACTCAAGCGGCAAAATCATCAAAAGAGTTAAACAAATTGAATACAACATTTTTCTGTAAATATTTAAATGAATTTTCCTAATGAAAATGTCAGTTGAAAAACTCAAACTTGTTCGCTTTGAAATCTTTAAGAAAAGTTAATACTTTCACCAAGGAATTAACTCTGCAGCGTTATAGGTTTACAAGTTATGTCTACGAAAGTTAAGATCTAAAATAAGTTAAGATTAAGAAATTGTACGTATTTTTGGCTGAAACTTGAATAAAAGCGTTTCATTCAAGAAATTGACTACACTTATTTCTGCTAAACTTCACTTAGTAATCATTTCATTTCAATATTTGTTCAATAATTATTGATGAAATTCAAAGTCAAATATTAAAGATTACTGTTCTACCTCTTTTTCAGCACACCTTTTAGTTTCAGTATATTCTTACTCATGACGCTGACATTAAAAGGGTTAAGCACCCCATATCTATACCTAGACAAAAGTCCAAACAAAATAAACAAATAGCTGAGCCAACCCATTGCTGCTAGCTGGTAATCGTTGGTTGGGTGCAAAAGGGCTAAGCAAATATTTGCAGCTGCAGCTCCCCAATCACAAATCACAAATGAGACGACGGCAACTGCCAGGCTCCAATACAAAAGTTGTGGATGGAACGTTTAAATCTCGGGTTGAGTTTAATGGGAATGGCTGGGAAGAAATGTCGTCGCTCGACGGCTGCTGTCGTCGTCGTTGTTGTTGTTCTTGTTGGCTGTCGTCAACATTTCAAAAGGACCTCAACATGACGGAAACGGAAACAACAACTTGCCCGCACTCCAGCAAGGATCCAATGTTCTGGCTAGGTTTTAATGACATTTTTGCGCCCATTTGAGCTTCCGTCGCTGGCTCTGTCGATTTTTGCAATAATTTACTTAAGAAAAGTCTAAATATGTTTGGCCAGGACCTCCCTCACTCACAGTTACCCATCTTCATCTACCCCTTTCTCTTTCTCGTCACAGGCCTCGACCTTATTGCCAGCAATTTCTGCTACTAGCAGACAATTGTTTATGGCGTTTATCTCGGCGTCTGGCGATAAAATGTTGTGCAAAATCCATGTGACTTTATGCGACAATATCCAATAAATCTACTGTTGGCCCAGGGCCTTAGTTCTGGCCAAAGGGGGGGTGGCTCTGTGTGTCTATGGCTTGACCTTCACAGGCTTTTCAACGCCCAAGTCAACCCATGCTGTATTTGGTATTGTTTGTATTTGCTGCTTTGTCTGCGCCTTTTCAAAGGGTTTAATTGTGCTTTTTGTCTGCCTGTTGACATAGGTACAACCATTCGTCCATATGTATCTCACCCACTCTCCCCAATGCAGAAGCATCCCATTCGCTATTCATTGTTGTACAACATTGTTTTTTGGCTAAAGAACGTGTTAATTAACTTGTATAAATCAAGCGCTAATAGACTGAGCAGAGTCTAAAATATAAGGGTAAATTGGCTTAACATATTGGGCAACAACTTAATATTGAAGTATTATTAAGTAATAAAACACGAGTATATGAAGAAGGTTTATTACCTATTTGTTTATCTTGGTCTTATGTATTGTTAAAAGTTTTGTTTTTCCGTCATATTACTGTGCATTATACCTTACAAGTAATAAATGTTGACAAGAATCTTAATTGCCATAACATTTAATCCTCATGTCAGGGAAAAGTTAAAATGTTAATCAGTTGCTTGCTATGACACTCAAATCGAGCGACTTACTCTTGACACCTGACAAAAGCTGACACCTGACAAAAGCTGTTTTTGCTCTACTTTAAATTAAATTTCTCAATCTCACCAGTCAGATAATTTAATATTCGGAATTTTGCTAGGCATTTTTAGGATACGTCTACTTATCTGTGATGCGATTCAAACCAAAATCAAATGCATTTCAAATGCCAATTCAATAGTAATTTTCAAACCACCACGAGTAATTTCCATATTGCAGCTTAAATAGCCATTAAATAAAATGAATCAATGCAACTGAAGCCATTTAAAAGTCAATTCGTTGCCAAAGCCCGTCAGAGCAAAATCAGCAAATCTTTTCCTTTAGCAGGATGGTGGAGTAAAGTTTGGGGTAAGAGTTGCTGCCACACTCAGCTCATAATTCTCGCGGTTGCCTTTAGATTGAATTTCTGCAATGGATGCGTCTTTTTTGATGATAAATGCGCTTACCACAAACGATTTGTTGCGCATACTTTGGCGCGAAATTTATGCGAATTTGTAATGCAATTCATAAGCCGCAACGTTCCCAGAGTGCAGCAACAGCAGCAGCAGCAGCAGCAATGCAGAGTTGCAATTTATTGCGGCGCAGAGTTGTCAATGCTCACAAATAAATGGCAAACACAAAAGGACAAACTGAATGTTGCCTTCTGGTGGCTGGAAAACGGCTTTATATGTTAATCAGCAGTCATTTGTCATTGACAACAAAATGAAATGTAATGCAATGCTGAAAGTAGTTAATAATAAATACAATTATTCTCAGCTTACATTAAATTTAAGCTCAAAATATTTGTATTTGAATTGCATTATGTAAAATGTTTGATTTCATATTATTTAAGGAAATATTCAATATGAAAGTAGAAAATATATCATAGTAAAAACTACTTATATGCTGCCTAATCATATGATAGTATTATTTTTTCTTTTCTATATTTCTTAAAATCATATCGCTTATGTGATTTTTTAAAAGATACAACTTTAAATCTGAAAAGCGGCTTGTAGCCAATTATCTGAGTTTTCCATACTGCTATCTGCGCAACTTGTGCACAGAAACTGTGTCAAAGAAAATTGAGTCATATGCAAATTTCCGAGCATTCTCTCGAGCATGTGATAATCATCACTCCACTCCTTCTGGTGCAATAAAACTTTTAACTAAGCCCCTCGCAACCACTTCACCCACACATTTGCGCCATCTACTGGCGACAAGTTTAATTATTGAGCTGCACTGCCGCCATTTTGATGCTGTTCTATATATACTTTACGGCTGTTTGCTTAGTCATTTTGTCAGGCAGTCAGTCTGTCACTGTTGAGGGTGCCACACTTGGCAGCGCCGTTAACGTCAGCAGCGCATTAAAACAATTTTGTTAATTAAGTAGGAAAAATTGTTAGTTTATTTACTCATCAACTTTGTCAGTTTCCCATACCTAATGCACACATTCTCATTGCACACGCTGCACCCCTTCTCCCACATCTACTCTTATTTTCTCTGACTTTACTTTGCACTCCCTTTTGCCAAGTTCTTTTTTTTGCGTAGCGAGGCAAGTTTGAAGTTTGCTTTGTGCGCGCTGCCGCTCAAAAATTCTCAAGTGCACAATTAATTAGTAAAGTTGGCAACGCCGACAACGCAAAGAAAAGCTGTCGACCACAACAGCAATAACGGATCGCAATTCTCAACGCTGCTGGAATTTATGGGCATTTTCTGATTAGACGCGATTAGAAGAAAAGTCTTAGAAGTTCAGTCCTTGCTCAAACTAAGTAGCTGAGCTTTTTGGCCTGGAAATTTGTCGAAGTGTTCATTTTCACTGCTCGTCGTCAAATTGAAAATTGATTGGAAATTGCATAAGTAATGAAAGAGATTCGTCGACCAATCAATTTGCTTTCAATTTTTGCTTTGTATTTCACAGAGCGTATTGTTACGAATGAAATTTAATTCAAATCAATTGTATTGAAGTTTTTTCTAGTCTTTCAAGTGGTAAAGAAATGTTGTTCTATGGAAGAAAATTAAATAATTAAATCTAATTCCAATGACTCAGTAACAGGCGATTAATTTTCAAAGTCAATTTTCGGATTGGACATCAATTTAAAGATGACTAAAATTCAAGAATTTCCTTAAGATTTACAAAATATTTATAGCTATAAGTGAATTTTTGAAACTATATGAAAGTTAGTATTACCATTTAATAGCAGTATACAATAAAAACAATCGATAACGTACAGCTCTTTTTATTAAAACATTTGTCTTTATTATAAGCAATTTTTAATCTAGTTAAATAAACAAATGTTAACCAAATAGCGGCAGCTACCGATGTAAAAGCTTTCTGTTAACTTACTCTGCGCTGTTAGCTTACATTTCGATTTGCTAGCGCCATCTGTTGCATGTAGGCTCAACCACACAGTACTTTCAAAATAACGGCTCTGTTCACCAGTTCGCTGTTTGCACTTCACTTTTGCTTTCTTTTCAAGGCAATCAAAAAATAAAACACACTAAACTAAAAATTGATGCACAACATCTATTAAGCTAATACTTAAAAAGTGGTCATGGTTTATTAATTTGCTAAAATACTACGTAATTAGCTGCTGCATATTTTGCTGTATACAGGGAAAAACAGCTCGAGTGGAATTGCATAATTTATTTGTTGAATTAATTAAACTTATGAATCATGGAAAAATAAGAATGCATGTTTTGAACTATAGGCGAAATCGTAATTTATAATTTTGCAACATTTGTCTGTGAATGGATAAGAGAATGTGCCAATTTGATAAGAAAAATACCATATTGTCTTGAAAATAGATGGCAAGTAAACAAGATTAATATCATTGAACTTTGCCTCAGTGTCGAGCAAAGCTTATGCAATCTTCTATTACAATGAAACAACAGCAAAATGCATAAGCCAGGTGAAAATGTTGAGGTAGTCATGCTGCAACAGATTGGCTGCAATCTGCCACCATAACAAGTTGTAAACAAACCAGAAAAATAGCTACACCTCGACTAGACGAACATTTGCGTACACTAACTGAGTAACCTTCAAAACTCTAATCTAATATTAAATTAATTATGATTTTTTTAATCTACTTTTAACTGACATATTTATAAATAGAGAGGTCTCACTGTAATGATAACTCTAATTAACTGAGAAATTACACATTATGTACATTTTATTATAGGTGTAAATAACATAATTGATGTGTATAATATTCATTGTAATTATAAAAATCAACATCACTTTAAAGAGGCACCAGTTTGCAATGAAATAAGTTTATTAAGCGTTGCATACCAAATGACAAAATAAAAGTTCCTTTCGATCTAGAGTAGAAACCGCAACATTTGAATTCATCGGAAAATCGCACTTTTATTGTGGACAATTTTCTTTTCTTCTCACTAAATGTTTAGTTTCGCTTGCATTTCAATTTCCGCAGCATGTATCAAAAACTCAAGCGTTTTATCAGCTCCATTTCACTTAGACCCTATTTTCATGGTATAATGGGCAACCCCATGGCAAAGAGACAGGGGGCTCATTACTTTCAATCTTCAAGCTGCATTAGGGGCCCTCAGGTTATATTTTTACCTTGTGCACTCATCCAATTAGTTGAAAAATTGCAATAAAAAGTGCTGCTAATTATGTTGCCGGTAGTCGGGTTAACCTTTATTCAGGCCTCTTGGTCTTGAGACACGCTTTTGTTAGTTGCTCGCTGTCGTGCACAGATGTAGTAATTGCAGCTGAGTTTTTGCAGATAGTCGAGTATCTAGTTGTAAATATACACATTTTGTGTGTCTTAAATTTGGTTGCAGTTTTGTCAATCGAATCATTTGGTTTCATATTAAATAATTAGTAAGCAATTATAATAATAATTGTTGCATTAGTAGTTGTAATTATCAAGTTATTAGAGAAATGTGATCAACAGACAACTATCCTTAAGTTCTATCCCAAAAATAAATACAACCGGAATGTCGTTTAAATTTTACCTGACATATCTTCATCAATTCAGATCTTTATATGAATATGAATATGAATTTTGAAAATCGTTGCCTTATTTTCGTTCATTTTAAATATTAATCTTCTATCCCAAAAGATTTCTAATTTCATCACCCAAAGATATTTCATAATGTTGAAGAAAAATCATTTATGTTAATTATATTCACATATTCATTACAAATCTTATAAATATTGCATACATTTTCAGTTATGTGCATGCTCAATATTTTATATATATTTTACGAAAGGCAATTGACAACAAAACTTGTCTAATTTGCCTTAAGTCAACACATTAAATTGGCAAATCTGTATTCATCGTCAATATTTGTCAGAATTTATTGGATTTGCATTGGCTTAACTTTCCGCTTGAAAGTGGCTAGTTAAAGTTAAAGATTAGTGTCTTAATCGCAGCTAAGGCTGAAAAGCGAGGGAGGAGGTGCAGGTGGTCCGCTCGCTCCTCCGTCTGAAAATGATTTATTTACAATTTGGCAACAGTCAAAGCAGGTATCTATGATCTTTTTTTTTTGCTAACTTTTTGTGTTGCATTGGGAAACCCAGCGTAGCCTGAGCAGCCATTTGGAAATGGGGTTTCGGTGACACGCAATAAAGTCTCTGCATAAGCAAAAAAAAAAAAAACAAAACCAAAACTAAACACTGAGTAAAGATAAAGAGTTGCTTTGAGCACTCTGAGCATGCAATGTCAACCGGGCCGGGGTTGAGACGACTGGAGACTAGGGTCGGGGGCCATGTTGGTTTGTGCCAAGCATTAGTTATGGCAGTTTTTTGGCTTTTATCCGCATACAGCAGCAGCAAAGAGCTCATTCAATTAACCAGACGCGTTACAAGTGGCTCGGCTTCTATTCGTACGCAGTGCTTAATACGTGATAAAAATGCAAATTCTTTGCACTCTCAAAAAAATGTGCAGTGTTTTCATATTGTTGTTGTCGACCTGGTGTTTACTTTCACTAGCTGAACGTTCAAAAGGTTGTAGCTGCGATTTTCCCACTGATAACATCATCATGTGTCTAGTTTTTTATGATTATGTCTTCGTTTAATAGCCAAATTCAGCTGGGAGGCATTGCAGTTCTTGTTGCGCAATGGCAATTTCGATATCAATCCGTTTAATTGCCAACTATTGGTGTGGGATACGTGTCCCAAGGAATATATTGGATTTCACTTATTCACAAGGTGAGTAGAAAGCGGTTTAAGCAGCAATTGGTACATATTACAAATAGTTAAATATAGAAACAGCTTTTTGCCTTTTTCTGGTTAGGAAATTATTTAAAAAATAGGAATCTTGTGCTTCTAAGCATACAGTGTATGCGCAATCGAGAAAGCATAGGATTCAGGCAGATTTATTATGCTGTCAGTTCTTAGTCAATTTGTACACTTAGTGCTTACTCCTATCCGGTTAAAAACAATAGTCTTTTACTTGCCTAACAAGTCGACCATTGGATAATATGCAACTTATCCAAGGCAGTTTTTCAACTTTAATCCACTTTTATTTTTGCTGCCTTTTCTGCAGTTGACTACTTTTACCCATAAATCACGGTCTAATGTCATCTACAACTTCAATTTAAAATAAGCCAATCTTTCACTTTTTTGTGCCCTCGTTGCTCAGAATAGGGTTTGGCAAAATTGTCACAAGCAAATTGTTTTTCGGTTTATAAAGTGCATTAAGTACGGCAAGCCAGCAAATGGGGCCAATGTAAAAGTGGAAAGCCATTTATTTTGTGCACACCATGAAATGACTTCAAAGATTGGCTTGATAAATAAATGGCTTTGAAAATATACAAAATGTTATCAGTAAAACTATATTTAATAGCTTTGATTAAAGGCGATTTAATTAATAGATTGTTGTATTTACGTGTATTAACGAATCAAATGACTTAAGCAACGAACTTCAAAATGTATCGTGTACGTATTGTTTAACACTTTCGTTTTGATTTTTTCATAATAGTCAAGCAGAAAAAATCGAATAACCAGAAAGTGAGTGTTCGCATTAAAATATATCTATAGCAATTTGAATTTACATAATAGTGTGCGCAAGCAAGATGAAAAACTGCCAAGAAATACAAATTACTACCCAACTCTAAATGATAAGATACAAGCGGTGATAGGCGGCAACAACGGTGGAACATCATGGAAAAATATCGAAATCAAAACAAAAAATATAAGTGATTTGTCAGAGTGATAAACTTCAATACTCTACAGTTACAGTGCGTATATATTGGAGAATAAATTGGTTAAGTTTTTTGTCAATTGTGAAAAACTTTTTGTTTAGTAAAAAATGATTCTAACATTTTTGTAAATACAAATTTTAAATGTATTAAATTATATTTATGAAATCTAAACAAACAAATCAGATGACTCTGACTATATACCCAACTTCTTAACGGTTAAGCAATATCGGTGCAGTGTTGCGTGAGCGCGCTATTTTGCAACGAGTTTCCAAACAAAGTCAGCCGAAAGCAAAGTCAAGGCAACAAGTGGCTGCCGCAACTGAGGCAGCAACATCATCAGCGGCAGCGATGGTGGCAGCGAAACTCTTCGCCTATTTGGCAACATTGCCGTGATTGCATTTTCTTTGCACTTGACGCATTCGAAGTGCATCGGGCCAATTGACAAGACGTGATTTTCCAACGGCTAAAAGGATTCAAACTCGTTTATGAAAAATTTCAATTTGATTCAAAAATTCAAAATCTGTAAATGTTTAAAAGGATTAGCTGAATTTTCTTTAAAATAATTTCAAGAAGTTTTTTTCAAGCTACGATTTCAAGAAAAATTAATAAATATTTTCACAAATTAAGTCAAAGAAAATTTTAAATCAACAAAATTTCATAAATTTGTATAAAATGTAATATCATTTCTTATAATTAAAGACAACTTAAAAAATAATATAAAAACCTAAATGCATATAATATTTTTTTGGAGAAAATAAACAATTAAAAATAAATTTATAAAAACCAAAATAAATAAATTAAATAACAATGTACAAATTAATTGCGTGTACAAAATAAATCTGAAAATTCAACGAAACAAAAAGTGAACCACTGGCACATTTCATAGCAATTGGGAGTAATTCGTGCAATAGTGAAAATGAAATGTATAATTGCGATATGCTTGCTAACGCTAGTACCCAAAGGTACAAAAAAAGCAACAACAAAAAAAAACGCCAATTAGAAATGTTGACAAAAGTTTCGCTCACGATTCGCAACCAACTTTTGCAGATACGCAAACGTTGCTGCTTAATCAAATGGATTGGAAAAATCTGCTCAAGAGTGGAGCCTTGGATTTAAATGTTTTGCGGTGCTTTATGCGGGATAAAAACTTCTGCCCCAGTCCCTACATTCAGCATCGTCTCTATGCACCGTAAGTTCGTGTGCCAGATTCGAATCCCGGACAAATGACGGCATTTAATTAAAGCTATGCGATAGTCCTCATAAGAAGAGGAGAAGAGTGAATGAGCGCTCTGCTCCTATATCCATTTATCAACCTATTTAATTGCAAACCATTCCGAAAGAAAGTATGTGAGAAGTAGGCAGATGCATACCACTTGGTCAGTGTGTCAATAACAGCAAAAAAAATTAAATCTTGTGCAACCACAAGGGAAGGTGGTGAAAATATGCAATTAATAGAAGAGCAACTTGTTTTTTCAATGCAGCCACATTGACCCAATTACCAAAAAAAAACTATGACGCATTTTGTCCCGTGGCGCAAGCAGCTTTTCAGCGGGGCCCATAAAAGCGGTCGAAGATGACATCAAATAGCAATTGTAAATAAAACCATTTACGTTTGCCGATTTGCCGAGTCGTTCAACTTGTCTAGCCGTCAGACCAGTCAACTTACCCATCTTGATCAAGTTCAAGCCAGACTTCAGGTTCAGATTCAGCGAAGTTATTTACTTTTAATCGCGAGCAAAAGTCAAGGTAATAGATGTCATCTATTACAGGACAATCGGCACTTATTGAACACAAGGCTTAACCAAAATAAAAGAAAATATCAACGAAACTATATTAAAAAAAATGAACAAGGCTCTAACTAAGATTGCTCATTCAGAGAATATTTGTGTGCGGATAGTTTTTTTTTGCAATCAACTCGAAATTCTACTTTCTTGTGGGGAAATCAAAAAACTTGTTATTAGCAGCTCATTGAGATGATTTTTTTTAACGAATAAAAACGTATAGTCTAGATTTAAATGGGAGTGCAAATACATCTTTAATAGTGAAAGTATTAAAATATTTACATTTTATTTTTGATAATTGACATACTTTTCACCGCAAAATCAAATCTTAAATTTATAAAAGAATGTCTCATTTCCAAACAGTTTTTTTCTAACAGTACGCAGAACTCTAAGATTATCTTTTTTGTTGCTAATATTTTTTATTAAACACTAATATTTTAAGATTTCACATGCTTTAGATAGTTTTTAAATTATATATAAATGCTGTAAAATTAGTAATCAAATATGCACAAGCATAAAATGTATTTGAAATTCAACTGCTGCATAGCTTGATTCACTGATGCATACACAATTCAATGGCATTATTTTGCTTATCAATTATTGTACACAGTTTTACATAAGTTGAACACGATTTCAACTTTCTTGCAGCAATGGTCCGCGCAATGGGCTGCCACTGAGTATCCATAATCCGTTGACCCTGTACAAGGGCGGTTTCAGCAAACAGCGCGAGACGGTATTCATAGTGCATGGCTTCAATGGTACTGCCATCGACATCCACCTACAATTTCTGCGGGATGGTTAGTGAGTATGCACCAGGAAACTCCACCTCAATCCAATGCCAGAAAGATGAATCCTCCCATATGTGTATAATTTTTTTAGCATATTTGACGCGTGACTTTAATGTGATAACTGTGGACTGGCGACCATTGAGTCGATATCCTTGCTACCTGCACGCGTTGATCAATACCCGTTTGACGGCTCAGTGTTCGGCTCAGGTGTATTCCTTTCTGACGCACTATGGTGCCACAAGGGAGAAGATCACTTGCGTTGGACACTCACTGGGCGCTCATATCTGTGGCATGATTAGTAATCATTTGACCAAGAAACAGTATCGCATCATTGGGCTCGATCCGGCGCGTCCCTTGATCGAGCGCAAGAAGAGCAATCTATTTCGTTTGTCCCTGGATGATGCGAGCGTCATTCAGGTGCTCCACACAAATGCCGGCTATCTCGGCCAAGAAGATAATACTGGCCATCTCAATTATTGTGTAAATGGCGGTCGCATTCAGCCATACTGTAAAGGAAATCCGATTAGTAAGGATAGACTTGAAAATGCGTTTATATTTTCATTTTTCCCATTATCTTTTTTTAAATAGGACGCTATCGCTGTTCGCACTTTCTGAGCATTTGTTATTTGGCCATGGCCACCTCGAAGCTCTCCAAATTTGTGGGCATACCCTGTCCAAATGGATGTGTCAACTTGTCAGGACCAAAACGTTTGCCAGTTAATGGTAAAATGAATCCGTTAACGTTTGTTTCAATGCTGCGGGACTATAAAATTGGCAACGATGCTCCAGACGAGTAAGTTTTGAAATAATGTTCCACTGAAATGCTATATTTTTTGAATTTATTTGTTTTCAGAGCTCGGGGCTGCGTTTGCATTGATGTACCCTACGCTAAGAACTGTCCGTTCACGGAATAGTAGACATAGTCATATATTTCAGTTTTACGATCACTGGTAAGCTTAGTTAGAAATAATAAAATGTAATGGAATTAAGAAACACTAATTGTTTTATTAATTATCAACCCGCTGAGAAGTATTGATACCAACTTAATACTGTCCCATATATCAGACTTCTATCGTCAACTGCTCTTGCTTGAGTTGCAGCCAGCGAAAAACGTATTTAAATTATAAAAGCAAACAATTTTTGACAATTTAAATTCAAACTAAATTTTTATTTAATAATCTTGGAAGAATACAAATATATATATATACATTGTTCCAAATAATATGTGACCACAAATTAAGGTACTTTTTTACATAACCCGGCCTAGCCGGTGGGAAAACCCCAGTTTATGGGGGTCATATAGTCATTTAGGTAGTTAATATATGTACCTGCCATCGGTCTTTGGAATTTTTGAAAAATATTGAATAATTTGTTTATGGCAGGCAATTAACTTTTTTGCTAGGCGCTGTTCCAGTTGAACTGCGAGACACTGTATATACATGCACACACTTCAAGCAACAAATCTGGTAATGTGTGTATCTATTGAGTAAAAACATGACTTATATTATTAAATTGAAATCAACACAATTGATAAGCTACACGGAAATAAATGCATATGCCTCTATGGGTCTCTTCTTAAGAATTAATTGAGCTAAGCTAATTAATTTTAGCGTGTCAGAAAATAACTATATGTTACACAAATAGGGCATTGACGGCGCTAATCAGTTGTTCATTATTTTGAAATGTTGCCTTGAATGCTTTGGCAACTTCCGACACAACGCGCAAACCCTCACAGTAGAGATTTACCTCGTGTTTGTCGAAGACATCTCCGTCGTCCTCAGGCTCATCATCAAGCTGCAGTTCGTTACCAACGAATGGCTCCACAATAATTTTGAAAACGCTTATCAGGAAATCAGAACTTTCGCTATACATCTGCATGTTCTGAAGCACAGCCAATAAAAATAGCCCCTCAGCTGCCATGGGCAAAAGATTGACCGCTTTAACGCCCCCATTATCCGCTAAAATGTGTGCAACGCACTTGGATACCATTTGGGATATAGTGCTCCGCACCATGTCAGATTCGTCAACCAGCAGCTGCAGCACAATTCGTATATAAATGCCAATTATCAGTGCATCGTTCGACTGCAGCAGCTGCAACACGTGAACGGTGAGGGAATCAACCAGATGTGACGCCTTCCAGCGCAAATAGATGCTCTGCGTGGGTAAACTAATGTTCCCGGCATAGCACAGTAATTGCAAACCCAGCGGCTGAATTTCCTGCCACTTGCTTTCCTGTTGGATTTGTCGCAACATGCAAATGGACATTCCCGGCTCTGCATCAACAACGTCGCTGTCGATCAAGAGCTCAACGACGGACGGCTCCAATTTGTCAAGGAAGACCATTAGAGTGTACAAGCTGCTGAGCATTTCTGGACTCCATTTTGGGCCACGCTCTACCTGTTTGACCAGTGTCATCACATGTTTCCGCACCACATCCGAGTGACTTAACTGCATCGACAGCATTTCACGTTGAACGGGCGTCAAGGCTTCGAAATAGATCGCCAAATTTGGATCGAACTGGAAGTATTTCAACTCTTTGTTGGAAAAGAAGCTACGCGCATTTGTCGCTTCACTTTCGTGGTGCATGAGCACATAAAGCCACAGATCGATTGTAAACTTATGTAGCTCCGCGGGCAACTCATCCTGTGCCGGCGACTGCACCAGCAGCCTGTTCATGGACGGCAATAGGTTCTCCGGTTCCAGCGTTAGGCGCTGCAAATGCAGCACAAACACTAAATAGAATTTCGGCGATATGCCAGCATCCACACAACGTTTGTAAATGTCCTTGTGATCTAGCTGATAGATCTTGACGAGAACTATGGAGAGCTCTGTATTCAAGTATTTAGTCTGCTGTGTATCCTGTGTAATAGCAACTAGCGTGTTAAGAATCGATCTAAATATACATATGTCATCCACATTGATATTATATATCTTCACAGCGATGGAGGCCAGCAGGAAAACTAGGCTGCGAATCAAATCAGCGTCCTTCCAGCCTATGATGCGAAACAGTTCCAAAACTTGGTACATTTGACCGTGCAATGCATTTGTATCCCACGCTGAATTATTCTGTCAACGAAAGGAGATGATTAGTAAGGTTTTAAGGCTAACAATTTAAGAGATAAAATAGTAGGAGAAGGAACATAAAATAACTAATCTTTCAACCGAAAGTTCCTCCCAGTTATGATGATATTGTAATCCGATCTTGCTGATTGTGTACTGACTATAGCTAGAATACCGACACCTGCCAGTTTCATCATAAAAACAGCATAGAAACCGTCTTCTCAATTCAATGAGAATCATCTCACCTGCTCCAGATTATATTTCAGAGCGCAGAGGGACATGCAAAGGTTGCGTAAACGTTCTTTTGCTTGGGTGGGACTTAAGAAATTGGCCAGGACGTGGCAGGCGCGCCGCCGCGACATCTTGTCGTGAACGTAACAGATTTTGTCCAGGAAAGGCACAAATTTATCGAGCTGTCAATGGCATTGATATATAAGTAAATTAAACAATAGAAAGCAAAGAAAGAAAAACACGCATTGACTCACATTCAAACTGGATTCGGCGCCCTCCAGAGCAGATGGATAGAGACGGCTGAGCAATAGTAACATGGCCTCCAGTTGCAATGTTTGGCCACCCTTTGACTGCTCCATATGTACTGCGGCCTGTTGCAGTCCATCGTGGAGGTAATCAAATAGTTTGGGATAGCAGGTGAAGAAGATGCGTCCCGTCATCCGATTGCGCACATGCAGTCGACCATCATCGCTGCGTGCACGCTCCACGCCAAAGATGCGCACCATTAAGGCGGACAGCATTAGGCTGGCAGAATTGCATTCGGCATAATCGACAGCAACGAGACTGTCCAAGGCACACTGAATGCCCCGTCCAACAAACTCATCCACCAGATTGCCCAGTTCGCTGCAGCGGAATAGAGCACGCATTATGTTGAACGCATGATTGCGGGCAATGACAGCCTCTGGTCCGGGCGCACGTCGTTCGCACACCTCGAGCAGCCGAGTCATGCTCTCGCTGAACATTTTGTGGGTGCCCAGTTTGAGTTCGGTGCAGATGAGGGCCTGCACCATGTACGGCATGCCAGCACTGCGTCGTGTCGCACACGGCACATAATCCCCATTGCCGTCGATCATTTTCATGGCGTCCGCTAGCCAAATTGGTGGCTGTGTGTTCAGTTCCGGCTCATCGCTATGCCAAAAACGATGACAGTACATTGCAAAGCCCACATACGCCTGCTCAAAGGCACCGCGATGCTTGATCTCGCCCAGCATCTGCACAAAGCGATCGCCAATGACTGCCAGCTGCTGGCGACTAAGCAGATAGCGCTCCTTGTTCTCCGGCTCCAGCGGAGCCCGCGTCGACAACTCGCCCAGTATAAGGGAAATCTCTTTGATGCTGCGCCACGCACATAACAACACCACCTGCTCATGCTTCGGTTCCTTACCCGGCTTCGCTTCCTGATTCGATTCCGCTTCAGTTGACGCAACAGGCAAATGTCCTTCGGGGGATTCGCTGGCCACCACGGGCAACATAATTTTAATTATATCCAGACAGCACTGCAGCAACTGATTAATATAATCCCGCCATAGTTGCTCCGCAGCCAGTTGCTTTAGGTTCAGCTGCTGCAGTAATAGGCGACTGGCAAAGAGCAGGCCATACAATGGATTCGATTTGGCTGCCTGTATTAAATCTGTAAGTGCACCATTGATGCCAGTTTGCAGAAGTGCCAGGCACTCAAGTAAAGCCATAAAGTAACGTGGACTGTTCTTGGGCAACTCGGTGGCTGGCTGCTTGAGTGTCAGCGGGGTCTCCACTCCCGCCGCCTGACAATAAACCAGCAGCTGATACGCACCCGTCGCAGAGTCCGGCGGTCGAGCCGATAGCAAACGTTGCAAAATTTCCCTCGGCTTTTGGGTTGTGCATCTCTGCAATTTACCCAAAAGCTGAACAGCTCGTTCCTTATTGTGCTCGTAGCTGTCGTATAGACAACGATCCAGGTAGACATACACCTGCGGATGTACTCTGTGCTGCCAGTACACACCCAGACGTTCCATCATATCAATGAGATCGCCCAGCAGGCGCAACGATAGCCAGATACGTCCATAATTGGCACTGGGAAACAAATTGAGCGACAGCATCTCAAACAATGTGCTCACAAATCTATTCAATATGTGATCCTCTTTTAGGATATTCGGCGCTTTCATCTGCTGGGCGAGATTGAGTTCCAATCGCCGGCACATCTTTTTCAATTGGCCGTAGGCACGCTGTCGAAAATGGGCTTTTGGATTGTTGGCATTGTGCTTTAAAAACGCGGAGATTAGATCAATATCAAATTGTGTGAACGGCTCGCTAAGACGCGGTGTGTCCACCACAAAGGTGAGCGCGAGAATTCGCCAATCATCATTCTCGTTCATGGCGGCCAGACGGATTTCCTCACAGTTATTTGCCAACGCCTCATTTACCACACGCTCCTGGCCAATGCGTCGTGCCACCAACATGGCCATCAATTTGAAATTAAACGGCACCTTTGGCTGCTCGAGCAGCACGCTCAGCACCTGTTTGTCCAGTTTAACGGCCGCACTTATCACATCTTCAATGCCCTTCGAAACACCGCTGAACAAGTTGGCAGCACTCACTAGATGCATGCACCATACGCTGTGCCAGTCCTGGAAGGCATTTTCCTTGTGCGCAATGGTCATCATGCCTGCAATAGATAATATAAATTATTATTGAGTTTAAGTTTATCATCATTCGTTATTCATCGCTTATATAAATATTTGTCATCGACTCACACTTGAACAAGGCATTTACACTATCCTCCCGACCCAGATGCTCAAAGAACAATTTATCGTGTATGCTGGGGCAATTCTGGAGAACCATTTCTGTGCCATATACCTCGACCATCTGTTGCAGCATGAGGCAGAGCGCGGGAATGGACATGCAAGACCGATGGTAGTGTTCACATAACTCATTGATGACCGCATTCTCTCCGATGGCCTTGGCATGCTGCAGCACCTGCCGCAAAATATTGGCGCACATATGGCGAATTGTGTCAATACAGCTTGAGATGTGCTCAATGGAGAAGCGCATCAGTTCGATCAGTATTTGGTTGTAGAGAATCAGTGGCTCATCCTCAAGATGTACAGAGGCCAGCGATTTGGAATATGTGTGCAAATGCTTGGACATATACACCAGCAAGTTGGATATATTGCGATTGTCGTTGGCTCGACCCAGAATTTGTTTCAATATATCCAACGCCTGTTTTCCGTGGATGTTATAATCACTCTTTTTGAGCACCAACAGCGATGCTGCCTTAATGGGCAACTCATCAAACTCGTCCATCTGCTGACATTTGACCAGATATTCAGCAAAATCTTTCGAAAAGCGCGCATTGTGACCGATGGACAAGCCAGCTATGGAGCGCACATCCCAGGGTGTATCCCCGTGTCGGGCCACAGCCACAGCCAGTTCATCAATGGACCACAAATGCTGGAAATGCTGCGCACCCAGCTCAAGCTTGTACTCGGACATACAATTGACATGGAAGCGCAACAGAATCTTTATATACATATAATAATCATTGCGTCGCGTTGGCGATAAATCCGCCAGTTGCTCGTCGCTAAAAAACAAAAAATATATTTATGCATTTTCAGCATCGGAAAACTTGTAGCGTACTTACCTAATAGTCGACCAATATAAGCCTAATAGCCTAGGCAGCAGAGGTATAAAACAGTGTATCTCATGAGCAAGTGCATCGCGACCATAGGGAAAATTTTGGAGGCAGCCGGAAATGGTGACGATCACTTCGTTAAGGAAGTCACTGGACGTATTACCAATGACAATCGATTCCAAATCACGTAGCGCAGCACGCAGAGCCGTAATTAGAAACTCCTTTGAGTGCGTTTGCTGTTCACCTTTGATGGATTCATTGCCCGAAAAGAATCTAACAGCAAAAATTAAAGGAAATTGTGTTGAGTTTGTTTTTGTTAATGCAGCAGAGATGACTTTCATACCTGGTGAGTAGATTGCGCAGAGGATGCCTCAGGGGGCATGCGAAGAGCAAGTCGGCCAGAAAGTTGATGGATTCAGTCTGATTGAAAATGTCTCTCACAATTACCAGTTGCTCGGCCGAATTTGTGGCTGCCCCAAACTGCTTCACGTAGCCAGCATGTGCTGTTGACGATGACACGAGTTGTTGTTAAAATAATTATAGTGTTGGTAGCATATGGTATACTTACCATTTTGCCATTTCAGTGGCAATTTCACAATTGAATCGCGCATCTCAGTGAAACGCTTTGGATGCGCCGACAACTTTATTGCCGCCACGCGCAGATTTAAGTCGTTCATTGCAACAAACAGCAAACGAAGCAGATGCCGGGCTGAGTACTCGCACTAGTGCTGGATGAAACATCGATAATTTTCAATTATTTCATATATCGATGCTTTCGCCGATGTCGCTGAAATATCGATAGTAAATTTTACTGTAGTCCATCTTTATCTTGCCGAACAGTCATAAAGTGTTGGAAAGCATTGGCAAATACGCTGAGCAAGAAGAAGAACCCAACTTAAGAAAACAATAATATTGATCAAATCACTTTTAATTTAATATTGAAACAAAATGGGATGCGATGGGGGCACTATACCCAGGCGTGATGAGCTTGTGCGCGTCAAGCAAAAGCCAGAGCAGGTAATTAATTCGCAAATGTTAATAGTTGAAGTCTTATTCCTACACTGGCTTCACTTGCAGAAAGACAAAGATGCTGAACGTGAATTTCGTTGGCTCCACTGTGCGCTGACCCAGCAGCGTTTGCAAGAGCCGATTGCGATGTGTACGATGGGACGTCTATACTCCAAGCAGAGCGTGATCGAGCGTTTGCTCGAGAAGGAGAAAATGCCTGATTCTGCAGCGCACGTGCGCAGTTTGAAGGACATTAAAACATTGCAGCTCACGCCAAATCCTGCATTCACAGAAGAGGACAAAACAGAGGGTCTGCTGGACACTCGCCATGCGCCCTACATATGCAAATTGATTGGCCTGGAGATGTCGGGCAAGTTTCGCTTTGTCGCACTCTGGAGCTGCGGCTGCGTACTCTCGGAGCGCGCCCTAAAACAAATCAAAGGCAACCAGGCCAGCACTTGTCCACTCTGCCTGCAGCCGTACAGCGTGGAGGATGTCATTGTGCTGAATGGCAACGACGATGACTTGGAGCTGATGAAGGTTAAGTGTGAAATGCGTGCTGCAAAGCGCAAGTCTGCCAAAAAGGACAAGAAGGATGCAAAGAAAACGGAAGTCTCGGTTAAATCAGAGCCGACCAATGAAGTGGCAACCACGCTCAGCAAGGAGGAAAAGCCCTCGACCAGCAGCGGTGCCACCAATGGCCACAAATTGAAAATGGTAGCGAATCCAAAACGTTTAGGCGCTGTAAACGCCATGCAAGATCCAGAGATGAAGCGACTCAAAACAGATTTCAGCGTGGCCAAAGATCCCAAGGCAAGTGATGTGTACAAATCCTTGTTTACTACCCACAAAACGGACAAGGAACAGGAACGCGCTCACTGGATTACCTACAACCCGTTCTACAATTAGACTTCTAAATTAGAAATTATAATATAAAATCCTTGAATTTTGTTCACACTTAGTTGTTAATGCGAAACAATTGGTATATAATTTAAAACAAGTCGTGTATAAACTGAATATCATAAATGTTTTAACTTTTGATCTGATACCGAATCATTCAAATTTGCAAGTATTGACTTTTATATAGCATGCTGTGCGTTTGAAATCACGTTATTCAGTTCAGTTCTACGGCGACAATTTAGTATCAGATATTGTATTGTATAAATATAAACCGATATAAAATACACAAAAGATTTTTCTAACATGTATCGTGCTTCATATCAGAAGGGATTCCTAACCATACTTTATAGCGTGGGCAGCTCCCCGCTGGACAAATGGTCCACATACGTAAGTAAAATGGAATATTTTGAGCACAGCTATTCAGAATTCTGCTCATGCACAGACTAAGAATGGTTACATAAAACGTATTTATGATGAAGACATCAAGTCACTGGTACTAGAAATTATGGGCTCCAATGTGTCAACCACATTCATACACTGCCCCAGCGATTGCAAGGCCGAGCTGGGCATCAAGCTGCCCTTCCTAGTGCTTCTCATCAAGAATATGCACAAATATTTTTGCTTTGAAGTCAAGGTGAGTTTTGCTGTTGTGAATTTTAAGAGGTGTCTTAACTTTAGGATTGGTTAACTGGTCGCAGATTCAGGACGATCAACGTTTTATGCGTCGCTTTCGCGTGTCCAATTTCCAGAGGAAGACATCCGTGAAACCTTTCTGCACGGCGATGCCTATGGGCATGTCACCTGGCTGGAATCAGATACAATTTAATTTGGCTGATTTTACACGACGCGCCTATGGCTCTAATTATTTGGAGACTGTCTCGGTGCAGGTGCATGCAAATGTGCGCATTCGTCGCATCTATTTCACCGATAAACTGTACACGGAAGCCGAACTGCCCAATGACTATAAGCTACTGGGCAAGCCGAAGGATATAAAGAAGGAGAAACAATTTAAAGTTCCGCCCACGGCGCGTCCACCATCGCCATTGAATACGGGCCGTGCCGAAGTCACTGTGAAAACCGAAGAGGTTATCCAGATCCAAGAGCTGGAAACGGAAATGGAAGTGCCACCACCACCACTGGATGAGAAACAATCGATGCCCGAAACCGTTGAAACCGAACCACCGCCAGTCACCTCTGAGGAGCCAGCGACACAAACCGAAGCGTACTATTAAAAATATATATTTTTATGTTTTATGTTTGAGTTTCTGTTTAATGTGTGCATGCAACTGGAGCAGGAGACGTGGCCAAGTAACAACTAAATTAGTTAGTCATAATCATTGTAATGTGTAGCTTATTAAATTTAAAACTATTAGCTATTGACTTAAGGGGTAATCATTTCAAATGTAATCTTAAGGAAAATACACTTAATAGCCTCTGAATAAACTGTTTTCAAAATGGTATCTTAAAAGTCACATAAAATTGGTCAAAACGATTGATTAAATTTAAATTACAATTGTTATTTATATAAATTTAAGTACATTATTTATATAAAATAAAAGTTCATTTAATAAATATGTGCCTGAAGATTAAGAACTAAGGTATCATGCGTTCGCTTCGCTGGCTATGTTCATCATGTCCGCATCGATGTGCTGCAACGTATTCTGATGGTCAGTGATCTCCAAGGCCTCCCATTCGGCCTTGAATGCCGCCTTGGGATCCTGGGGCATTGTCATCGCGGCGCCCGTCATTGCATCCGCCTGGGCTTGCGTCTGATCCGCATGATTGTTCTCGCCCAGCACCAGGGTGTAAATGGAGCGCAAGCCAAAGACATTGAGGAAATACCATGATGCCGACGATACCCAGGCGGCGTCCAACGAGGCCAGTTCCACGCCGCGCTGCAGCATCGGCTTGAAGCGCAGGGTGAGTGGAAATGGAACTTTGGTGGTAACGAAACCAGAGAACATCCAATTGATCCAGCCACCAATAACGACCATGGGCAAAACGTTAATGAAATTACCCTTAACCATGTCCGTCAGCATGGCGGATGAGTTTTGTGCGACTGGAGCACGTTTCTGTGTCTTGAAATAGCCCGTCTCTTCGTTGTTGAAGAAGTTCTTGCGCATGTAGAAGGACTGGCCAATCAGATATTTGCCATTCTCGCGCAACAAACGGGCACGAATCATGGCTTGGCTGCGCACAGTTTAAATATTTTTGAATACATGTTTCACACGAATAACTCACTCACCTGTCAATGATTTGGGTCATCTCTGCCTTCTTCTGTGTGGTTATCAAAATGGAGACGTAGTGGCGCACGATGCCCACAAGAAATGTGATAAGCACAATGGGCAGAAATACCCAAACGCGTATATCTGGATCGAGAAGCAATTCCGTCATATTTAACTTAGTCAAGTTTCACTTTCAATCAATTCCTTTGAACAGCCGAAAAGGCGACTTGCTGCTAGAGATATGTGCGTATTATCGATTAAACTGAGTAACAATGACTGGCTGACGGCTATCAATATGCAGATCTACTCTGTAAATTAAAGCCAAAGCTTGCTTTTGTTTGAACAGAGTAACAGCTTTACAATCCGATTAGTTGGTATCGATATTTATGGTGTTAAGCAAACTGCGACTAAAATTTGGTTTGTTGAATCATTTACTTTTATTACAATTACAAAAGACAATTGCTTACACTTTTAAAAACACTATTCGCTTACACATAATTAAATGCATTACATTTTCCCAGGCAGATGTTTATTGGATATGGTCAGATCCTTACCATCATACACAATGGTCTCATAGAAGAACTTTCGATTAACGCGACACTGTGGACCACATCGGGTAGAGCCACAAATGCGACACTCGTACCAGCATCCACTGCACTCATCGTTCATGCAATCGCAGACGTCCAAATCGCTGTATCTAATGTTTCCATACAGATCGTAGGCGCTATTCTTTGTGTAATAGCAACCTTTCTTTTTGCCTTTTCGCTTCTTTTCGGCTTCGGTGGCACTGTTGTCGTCAGTTGTTTCTTTTCGTTGTGGACGCTCGCGTAAACTTCGAGCGCTCATTGTTTAATCCGTTTGTTGACAACAATTAAATGATTTTACAGCTGTCCGTACAAAACTATCGTAAACATATAGGAACCAAGCTGATAAATAAATATCGATCCATCGACTTGTGCATCGTTATAGTATCGATGCTTCAACGCATTAATCATAAATCTTGGATGTTTGCGTCTGTTTGATGATGATTACATTGATCTGCCATGTATTGCCACTGAATATTTAGTAACAATTAATTGAGGTAATTGAATATATATGACACTTCGATAAATTACTTGGAAGTTGTTATCGGCACCCCATATTCTGGCGCACAGAATACAGTGTGACCATTTCAATTTACATAATTGGTTCAACATATGGCCAAGTCAAATATTCACCTCCTGCGACGCCAGTAAGAACTTCTCACTGATCAATTAAAGTTTGCAGCAATGGAGACCAAAGCCGATTCGCCGGCAACACCAACTCCAGCCGCAGAGGCTGCCAAGGAAGCCACCGGCACCGTTGCCGCTGCCAACAGCAACACTGCACAGGCAACGGCAACTTCGGCGGGAACCTCGGCAGCATCCGCCGCTGGAGCAGTATCATCATCATCAGCACAGGCGACATCAACAGCTAGCAATAATTCCAGCAGCTCCAATGCAGGAGTAGCAACAGGAGCAGCCACTGTATCCACAATAGCAGCAAGCAGCACACAGCAGCCGCCGCCGGCAAAGAAGCCAAATCCATCGCAAGCCACGCGATCCGACCCTAGTGCGCTGCCCACACGCCAATATCTAGATCAGACGGTGGCGCCCGTTTTGCTGCACGGCTTGCAAGCGCTTGCACGGGAACGTCCCACAGATCCCATACAATTTCTGGCCTCGTATCTGCTGAAGCATAGCAATGGCTGCGAGGAGCCGGTTGCCAATGATGCCAGCACCACTTCGATATAAGATCCCCATTTCCCATCTCTGACCAGATACAGTCCCTGTCCCACCCTTGCGTTTGTCTAGCTCTTTAAGTGAAAAAGTCCTTAATAAATGTTTTAAAAATTACATCAAATAATTCTAATAAATCGCAATTTGCGCTCCAAAATCACTTTTAAAAAAATATGTTGAGCGGAAAATCCGACTTAGGCAGTGATGGGATAACCCCAGGGATCCAGTTTAATGTTGAGCAGCTGCAGCGAGGAGTCTGCAATCTTGGACAGCACATCGGCCAACTTGTGCTTGGTGTACACCTTATACAGCTGGCGACCCTCGTCGGCGATTTCATCGGCCAACCGAACACAGCCGGCAAAATCGTTGGACTTCATCATCACTTCGTGCAGCAGGAGGACAATCTCGGGCAGGCAAATGGAGCGCAGTTTCTCCATCTGCACCAGACGATGCTCCCAGTGCAGCAGCGATGCATTCTCCGGTTCCTTGGCAATGAAGGGATCGTTGAGCCAACCCTTCTCCGGAAACAGCAGCACGTTAAACAGCGCCTCCGTTGTAACTAAAGGATATTTAAAAAAAAGAAATAGGGAGAATTTTATAAGATATCCTTAAGATTCTATGCCTATATTTATATATAAATACATATATCATATATCTTACTCTTCGACTGCTCCTTGAGCTTCTGTTTCCAGCGAGACAGATCGCTGAGATAGGCCTTCTCCTTGTGCTGGGCATTCATGCGCTCCGTGAAGTTGTCCTGCGTGTGGTGACTGATAGTCGATTTCTGTGCGCCCGGCTCCGGTGGCTGTGGCCGTGTCTGCTGCAACTGTGTCCAGTCATTGAAGCTATCGATGCCAGCCAAATATATCCGAAAGCAGAGATATTCCCGCAGACTGCACTCCTCTCGAGGCGGAAAATTGTCGGGTGCACCGTAAATCTTGATCAGTTGGGCGGTCACATCGTCTGGCACCATGGAAAACACTCGACGCACACACTCTATCTTGTTGCTGGCCAGATACTGGCGCATCATGGCATTCGCCTGCCACAGCAGCTCACCGCGCTGCTCCACCAAATGGATTAGATATTCCAGCGATTGAATCTTGCGCTTGTCTCCCGCAGATATTTCACCTGTATGCGGTTCACCCATGGCGCTGACCGGTGTGCCATCTACGCATATGCTCTCCACGGTGTGCAGCGTTATTTGCTCCACATCAAGACCCGCCTGGATGGCCGCCTCCAGTGCCAACTCCCGGGGACGCTTCTCATGAATGTGGGTGAGAAACTTGGCATAGAGCTGAACTTGCAGTTTCTTGGGCAAACCGGCGGAATAGTAGGCAATGGGCTGTGGATCGCCACGTTGGATTAGGGCATCCACATAGGCGGCAATGATGCGATCCGCCTGCTGCTGCTGCGGCTGCGGCTCCAGTCGTCCAATCCGCCGCATAAACAGCACAATGTGCGCCATGAAGCGCAGCTGATGCGGCGGCAACTGCGACTCCTTCGGCACCGCGTCGAGCCAGCGGCACATGTGTTTCAACAGTTCACCGGCCGTGTCAAGGATGAGATGCTGCTGAATGACTCCGAGTTGACTCTGCGCATAGTCACGCACCGCCAAATCCTTGGCGACGTTCAGCTCATCGAAGATCTGCTCAAGCGTCATCTTGCCATTCCAGTACTCATCGGGCATGGGCTGATACCGTTTCAGACAACAGCCCCTTATCTCACTCTCCACCCGTATATCGATCTGCACCTTGAGATACGCCCAGAGCAGATCCTGCCAACTGTTGTGCAGCAGCGATTTCAAGGCATCCAAATGGCCACAGAAAACGCCGGCCGTAGCTCGCGTATATTCATCGTATTTGGTGGAATTGGCCAACAGCCAGGCGCATCGTTTCCAAATGTCACGACGCGGATTACCCTCAATGGGCAGCTTCTCGTTCGCCTGGCCACCCACATGTCGCGCACAATTGGGATCCTCGTGCAGCCGCCAACCCTCCAATATGGCCGCTCGCCACGTCTGCCCATAATGCTTGCAAAGCTTCAGCGCCTCATCGATGTGCCCGCTGCGTATGGCAGCGAAAATAGCGCGACTCAAGCGGCCATTGTCCTCCATGTCGAGGGCATGCAGCGGCTGGCGTTCGCGGACCGGCGCATCCGGATCCAGTTGCCGGCATATCTCGTGGCCCCGACCAAAGGCGGCGCCCTGCAGATTCTCAAGCTGGAAGAGCGTATTCTCCCAGGCCATCATGCGATCGTGACTTTGCAGCGCATTCGACTGCTCGCTCTGTTCATGACACTTCTCCAGCCAATCGATCACCAACTGATACTCGCGCAGCTGGGCATTGATCGAGAATAGCTGCTGGATCACCTGACGAACGCAGAATAAAAGTAAAATTTTAATTACTACAAAGTACAAACTTGAAATGTTGACTCACCTCCTTTTCGCTGGCGCCCAACATGGGGCCATCTTGCATCATCAGCTCATCCTCCGCATGCGCATCGGCCTGCAGCAGCAGGCGATCATGATACAGTCCATAGAGCAGACGCCACGTGTTGATCTCCTGCTTGAGCCAGCTGACGCTCGCTTCGCGCTGCTTGGCGCCCTGATTGCCGCCAACACCGCGCTCAATTTCTATCTGCAGCTGGTCGACAATCTGCTGGCAGGCCTGCACCAGCTGCTGTACCACATCCAAGGTATCGTTGGCATTTGTATGCGTGTGGTGAATCTCGTAGAAGTGCGCAAACAAAACGTCCGCTTTACCTCGCCCATAATCCGCATCATCGTTGACGTCATCCACAGCTACAGCAAATGTGCCGCCATCTGTGCCGCTCAGGCGGCTTATTTCGTTGGCGTTGTGCGCTGTGCGATTCTGGAGTCGACTCAGGAGTCCCAAAGCTCCGGCGCTGGTGTTTCTCAGCATCTCCTGTTCCTCGGGCAGCAGCGTTATCGATAGATTGTGTGCTTGCTCGTTTTGGGTGCTGCTTAGCGGAGGACGCAGCAGGCTGACGCGTCTGCGTTGGAACGGACTCTCCATTGTGCTTAAGCTATTTATTTTGTCTTAATTTGTTATGCTTAAAAATTCGAAGACTGCTCTCAGCACGCAACAAAAATGCCGGGAGTCTTCCTCACCAGCTTATCGAACACTGTTTTCGTTTCGTTTTGCAGCACTAGACACAGTACGCACATATGTCCAAGCAAAAACAATAGCATTTTTTAAATAAATGACACATTTATTATATTAAATAGAAAATATACATATTAACTGTGATTTATTTATAATTTAACAGTGAACAATTCAAATGTTTATGAGTGAATAAATTTACTTTGTACACACGACCAGCATACGTGCCTTAAGAATCATTCCAACTGTCATGCAAATGTTGTATTTCAGCTAGGCTTGAACGTGTCTGCACCTCTAAATAAAAGTAAGCGTCGCTTTTATTATTTTGTTGTAACAATTAAAAGGACTTTTTTTCCACCGTAATGTGATGTTCTAAAATAACACACTGGCAATGCCCAGCTGTATGATTAATCGAAAATACAAATAAAAATAATTATAAAAAAAACGATGGCAAATTACAGGCCTAATTGTTAAATACACAGACTGTGAAACAATTTGTAAATAAATGTCTTACAACTGTAAACCTGATTTTTTACTGTAGTGCAGCCGTTCAAGTGTTAAATAATCACATAAATAGTTTATATGACAAACAAAGAGTATTTAAATGCCAGCCAGCTACAATTGTTAATACACAAAACTACACAATTTAATAAATATTTCAACAAGCAACAACCAGTAACAATACAACAAAAGGTAAGAACCGGAAATTGATTTTTACCCACATACTTAACATACATACACACATATTATTTATGTATGCACATGAACACATACATATACACACATATAAGTATAATATGATATATGTATGTATTTATGTATATACGTATTTACATATGTATACCTAAGTATACATGTATGTTTTTATGTATCTAACAAAAATACATTTTTTACTTAAAATCAATTACCTGCCAGAAATCGTGTGAAGAGCAGGTGAAAATCGTGCAGAATTTATTTCAATCTTCCTTATGAATATTTTATTTTAGTGTTTTCAATATATGTGTGTGTGCCTGTCTATATTTTCTATATACATATATCGTAATATTCTACATTCCCATGTTCTCTTCTATGAAAATAGCTCCCCACAAAGGATTTCGTTAGGCAGTTGCAATTCCATCTAATCTAATTAGTAGATACGACTCCCATTGAAATTGTGACCTTTTAAAGATATTTTGTACATGTAATGGAACTGTTTTTTGTGAAGCCGGTTAAAAAGTTAACGGTATACAAAATTCGAACTTCGGACTAAGCTAGGATTTCGAATCGGTATAATTATATTATATATAAGAATAGAGAAAACTTTAATTTGGAATGCCTTGCCGACTTACAGTAAAAGAAGGATATATCTATCGATAATAGTCGGAAGATTCCCTTTAGCACCTTTATGAATTATTGTAACGAAATTTCATCTCACAAACAACATTCATATATTTTACCTTAAGCCTCATTTTAATTTCAATTTCATACTTACAGCCTTAAATCCAACAAACAATAAATAAGTGACAAGAACAACGAAAAGATGGCCGTACAGCTGAAGAATGCGTATCATCATCTGCCGCTGACAATAACTCCGATCCTTTGCCAGCCACTGCTGACGCCGGCGCCGACGCCGATGCCATTGAAGGCGGAGCCGCCGGATTTAACATTTCATTGCATGTGCTGTGCGGAATACTTTGTGCATCCCCTGGCGCTTTACCAGCACATGAACAGCAAGCATCCCAATGAGACGACACCGCAGGAACAACAACAACAGCAGCAGCAGCACGAGGAGCAACAATTTGCTGAGGATGATAGCACCGATTACAGCTGGATATTTGAGCCGGTGTGTGAGCTGGAAGTGGCTGCCGATGCAATGGCATCGCGCAGCGATGAGGAGAGCGACTCCAATACGGACGATGAAGCGGCGGAGGAGGGCACCGATGCGGATAGCGATAACGATGACAGTGACAGCAGCAGCAGCAGCAACAGCAGCAGCAGTAGCTCCAGCAGCAGCAGCACCACGAACACCACCACAAACGGGCACAACAGCAACTCAAACACCCAGCTGAGTCTGGAGAATGGCGCCTACGTGGAGGTGACATCAACTCAGCCCATGCGCACTTTGCTGCCAAATGAGTATCAGTTGCCAACTGCCGATCCGCATGAATCCACATCGATTATACTGCTGAGGCCAACGTTGAGCATAACGCCAGTGACAGCAGCAGCAGCACCCCCATCCGCACAACGATCCGCATTGCGGCCAACAGCAGCAGCGGTCACCACTCCACTTCTGCTGCCCACACTTCACCTGGAGCCGTCGACGATTAAACGACGACGTGGTCGTCGGAGCAAGGCGAATGTGGTGACGGATAGTCATGGTGCGGCGGCAGCAGCTGTCGCCCAGTTGGGCGCAAATGGCCAGAAGTGTTTTCAGTGCACGCACTGTGAAGCCTCCTTTCCCAATGCCGGCGATCTGTCCAAGCATGTACGTTCGCACATCTCCAACAAGCCGTTCCAGTGCTCAATCTGCCAGAAGACCTTCACGCACATCGGCAGTCTCAATACGCACATACGCATCCACAGCGGCGAGAAGCCGTACAAATGTGAACTCTGCCCCAAGGCCTTCACCCAGTCCAGCAGCCTGATGGTGCACATGCGATCCCATGCGGTGCGCAAGCCACACCAGTGTCTTCAGTGCGATAAGGGTTTCATTAATTACAGTTCGCTGCTGCTGCACCAGAAATCGCATGCGGCGCCCGTCGAGAGTTTTGTGTGTCCGGAGTGCGAGCGGGAGTTCAAGGCGGAGGCGCTGCTCGACGAGCACATGCGCATGCATACCCAGGAACTGGTGTATCAGTGCGCCATTTGTCGGCAGGCGTTCCGCGCCAGCTCGGAGCTGGTGCAGCACATGAAGTGTCATATGGGCGAGAAACCATTCACCTGTTCCCTCTGCGATCGTTCGTTCACACAATCCGGCAGCCTCAACATCCATATGCGCATCCATACGGGCGAGAAGCCCTTTCAGTGCAAGCTGTGCGACAAGTGCTTCACCCAAGCGTCCAGTTTGAGTGTCCACATGAAGATCCATGCGGGCGAGAAGCCATTCCCGTGCCACATCTGCGGCAAGGCCTACAGCCAGCAGGCCTATCTCAATAAGCATATTCAGGCGCATGCCATGGATGCGACACCACCACCAGTGCTGCGACAAGCCGCTCCTCCTCCTCCTCCTCCTGCTCGTCCTGCTCCGTGTCCTCCTTTTACTACACCCGTCATCATCGCCGCTCAGAAGGAGACGCTCGTGTGCATTGTGTGCGGTGCGCTGCATGCGGATGCCACTGCTTTGGCGTTGCATGTGACGCGGGAGCACACAGCGCTGCTGGACAACATAAAGCAGGCAACAATGCCAGCAGTTCCCATTGCGTCGGCGGCGGGCAAATGCAGTGCGGTGGAGCGGCAGGCACAGCAACAGGCGTATATGCAGCGGGTGCAATCGATGCTGCAGCAAATGAATCAGCAGCAACAGCAACTGCCAGCCATGGACTCTGCCGGCGAGGATGAAGAGGAACTGGACGACGATGAGCTAGACGAAGATGAGGAGGGGGATGATGATGTGGAGCCTATCGAGCAGATTGACGTGCAGCAATTGGAAAATGATGGCAATAACGACGATGAAGATGAGGACGAAGACGAAGAGATCGATGATGAGAATGTTGACGACGACATTGATGAAGACGATGTTGTTGATGAAGATGATGATGTTGTTGATAATGACGATGACGATGATGTGGGACAGCAGCTGGTTACGGATGCAGATATGTATTACGATATGCCCGGTGATTTTGCCGACATGGAAGTGGGCTGCGAGGAGGAGGTGTGTGCCGATTTTATTGAGAACGACGATTATGCTGCCGAGGAGGAGGTCTACACCGAAGACATCTAATCCACCTCACCTCATAATATACATTTCTATGTGTATATCAGAGTTATTATTATGTTCTGCATAAGCATTTCAAATTTGTATTAATCTCCCACATTTTATTTGGTGGAATTGATGTGAACATTTTGTGCAAAACATTTACAAACTTAATCTAAAAGTTTAAGAATTGTTTTTTGGCCATAGTTCGTATTACCGCTTATGATTTATACTTATTCATTAACAAGGAAACACGAACAGCTATCTTTGGCACTCCGAAGATTACATACGCTTGCAGATCACAGCTAAATTTAATGGTACATGAACAAAAATTGACCGATTGTTCCTATGGGAACTTTGTAAAGGTCCGATGTTATTTAAAAGTGATACCATCTGCAAGGGTAAACACACCCACCACTTAATGTCAAGTAGCGCTCAGATCTCTATTGCTTAAATGTTCTATAGACTTGAATATTTTTCGGCTTTGCCCTATTTCAACTTTCACGTCTGGCATATCATCTCTCTTTAGTATCACATTAGGTAATCCCGCTTAGAGTTCTGAGTCAGACTTTCCCCATTCGAATGTGCACCACTTCAAATAGTATTTTACTTTAGTATTAAGCTACTCACTGTATGCTGCTCATTTACCAAATGACGCCCACAATTAATTGTGGGCTCATATTTGCCCTATATTAATTCCTGTTCCTTGCTGTAAGGATCCTGAAGAGATTACATTAATCGTTACCTTAAAAAGAAAAACTGTTTATAATTTAATGGAAACTTATCTTTAGAGAGTTAAGCGTTCATCGTGCTGAACCTAAAAAATATAGTTTATTTTTGTCCACAATTTGAATATGTCGATTGGATCGGAACCCTACTTTATAGGGAAGTAAATCTTGATAAATGTAGTTTTATTATTCACATAGAATTCCGCAAGACGTCCTCTGGAATTTTCAACACAAAAAGAAATCAATCTTATTGATTTTTTTATTATTATTTGTATGCATGACTCTGTAGTCGTGTAAAAGTCATCGAGGTGATGCGCGGCTCCTTGAGCTCCATGGACTCCGTCTCGGCAATGCCAAACAAGCCAGCAAGGATACAGCCGCCGGCCAACCTATTAGTGGGTTCGATCTTCTCGGGTGGGGCAATGATCTCATTGTCGCCCTGATAGACATAGGGGAGGCGCAGGATCCAGTAGGCGCTCTGCGACAGCATCGGCAAAATGGAGCAGCCCAAGGTGAAAGTGTATTTGCCCACAAGCACCTTGGGATCGAGAATGATGTTAACTGGCGCCTTGGGCGTAACGACATGAATGCGCATCAGTTGCGCCAGAAACGTGTTCTGTGCCCGACAAGGACATGGAAAATAGAGGGGCATGTTGTTGTTGATCACCTTGGTGCTGGTGTCGCGCTCAATATCCGCACCGCCACGGAGTACTCGCTCCGGGCTGCGCATCATGAAACGATGACCACGCGAGCACTCGTATTCGAACCCAATGAAGATCTTGAGGGCCAGCCGATCGCCCTGCTTGCGATAGCGTTGATTCTTCTTGCCCATAAGCTGTTGCTGCTGGTGCTTGTAGTGCGGCTGGACGAGACGCACTTGCACATCCCAGGGCAGTAGATAGTTGGCGCCGGATAGAAAGCCGCTCTGAAAGTGCTCCTGCAAACCGGTGTTGTGACTGTAAATGGAACTGGGACCGACGCACGCGAGCGACCAGCTGGGGAAGAGCGGCAACAATTCCAAGCCGCTGCACATGTGCACCAGTCCCGGCAGATATTCCGTTGTGGATATCAGCTCCGGTTGATGTGTCACACTCCTTATTCCCTTGGACAAACTCTCTCGAGCCACAATTTGGTTTGCTTTCTGAGCGCTGCGCTCCTTTGGCTGGAGTTCGATTTCACTCTCAGTGGAGGTGTCGCTGCTGGTGCTGTTGTCCTGACTACCCTTGTCACAGACCTCCGCTTCTTCGACCTCCGCCTCCGCACCGCCCTCTTTGAGGGAGACACCAAAACCCGCAATGGACATGTTCAAATCGGAGCCATAGGTGGCCGACATGGGTTGTGACCACTCATTGGCCGATGCTTGCGGTTCCTTCTCGGGTTCCGGTTCCGCTTCGGTCGCTGGCTGGGAATAGGGTTCCTCAGCTGCATTCGCTTCCTGATCGCTGTCCTCCTCCACTTGAGGCTCAGCACGATTCTTGTGCGCCTGCAGCAGCAGTGGAAATGCTGCCTCAAAGGCCGCCGCGCGATAATCGCTGATGGATGGCGTAAAAACGGGAAACTGAAATCTTTTGACTTTCACGCACAGATTGCACATGACTGCCATGTGTTCGTAGTAATCATAATTGGCCTGTCGCAGCGTGTATGGATCCTCACGCCTCCCCAGTGTGCGACCACAATTGCAGCTGGAGATGTGCACGACGCCGCTGCTATGCTTATCATGTGACACATCCCTCGGCAGGATGCAGGGATTCCCACGCAGGCTGGGAAACTCGCACTGCTGCCGGCCATCGTGCCAATACCTGAGGCACACATCGTTGAGCTTGGCCAGCGCCAGTTCCGCATATGGACCACGTCCCTCCTCTTCGAAGACTAGTGTGGCATTCGCTAGCATTTGCTTGTGGGCTGCGCTCCCGTAAGTGACTGCAGCTGAATGCTTATACGCCGAGATGCCCTTCTTCAAGCCCAGTTCACTCAGATGGTACCAGAATCTGTCACAGAAAATCCATTAAAAGTGGTGCTTAAACAGTGATTTAATTACAAACCTTTTCTCATAGTTAAGACTCTCTGTAAAGTCTCGCAGATAGGCTTGCTGTGGATAATAAATGGACATCAATTATGCTAGCTTTGATTTAGTAAGGATAACTTACATAATGTGCATTCGTTGAAACATAGTTGACATCCTCAACATTGCCCACGAGCAATTTGTGTATGCTGACCATGCACATGTGCCAGGTCTTAAAGTTCAACAGTTGAAACGGTGGTGACTGCGACAGCTGCTTAAAGGAGCCCTCGTCGAAGCAGCCTTCCAGTGCGTCCTGCACATGCCGCTGCAGAAAATGCCAAACGGTATGACTCTCCCTATAGAGCTGTTCATCGGATTTACGCACAGTGTACGCATCGCCAAAGGGCTTGACAAAGCCCTCGAATGGCGCCAGTGCAATGATTTCCAAATCCTCCTCCTCCTCCTTGACATCTTGCTTGTACATGGTCGCGTTTAGCGCATCAATGGCAAGCAGTAGTCGATCGGGACGTAGAATCTCGTTTGCATTGTAGAAAACAAATTGTTTATTGTTGGGCAGCGCCAGCAGCGAATTACTGGCACTCTGCATGACTATATTATATTGGCGGAATAGTTCGTAAATCTTGTCCTCCGTTTGGAACTCATGGGTAGAGATGAATTCGCGTGTCTTCTCCACATCCGCTGGATAGTTCTCAAAAATAAACAGAATACGCGGCGTGCAGAGACGCGCTCGATCCCCAAGTAAATTTCCGGCGGATGTTTCGCGCAACAATTGAGGCAGAAATTCTAGCAGATGCTGCTCGCGGACATACTTCAACAGCTGGCAAATGGTCACCAGTGCTGGATCAAATGTCTGGCCCGTCTCCACATAGACAACAATGTGACAGGTGTGCAACGCCAGCAGCATCATGCGCACAAACTGACTACGCATATTCCCATAGAAGTGGTCGAAGTCAATCGACGTTTGCTCCAGCAGCTTCTGGCCCAGCACCACCTCATCGTGGGTACTCTCAAAGTGCAACAGCAGTGTACTTGTACCCGGCTTGTAGTAGCACATAATTTGCCCATTCGCCGGCTCATGCGTTTCCTCGGGCTGCATGCCAAAGACGCTCATCTTGTTGGCCAGCGAACATTTCGAGCGACCCACAACGCCAACAACAACCAGCGAATTCTTCAGCTCCAACAGCAGTGGCCTATCAAGTTATGCCTTTTGAGAGTTGATTATGATTATGATATTTGACAACCACTCACGCTACATCCTCGGGTACGTCCGGATATTTCCAGGAGTAATATTTTCTAAAGCTCATTGCTCGCATGCGGCGATTAAAACATACAAAACAAACATAAACAAATCGAGATGGTACGTGGAACGTATCGATATATCGACCACATCTTACGATTTTAAATGTAATAACGATAACTATCGATAAGAAGTTATACGCAAAGCGCCTTTTCATCATGTTTGTATTTTTGAGGCAGCTGCAAATAAAACGACTACACTTTTGTTTGTCTAAAGCAATTTAATTTTATTGTAAACTTTTTGCCATTTATAAATACCTTCAGCATACTTTACAGTTTTGTAATATGCCATTGTGTTTGTGTGTATTTTGTTTTATATTTTCTTTTTTATTTTTGGTTGCTTAAATTTTTTGTATTAAATGAGAGTTAAGTGCATGAATAAGTATAATGTATAATGTTTAAATTTGGAGCTATATATTGTTCAATTAATTATGCGTGTTTGGCTAAATGAGCACCTAAAATGATTTATGTGTTTTTATGTTTTAATTTCTTATATTAAGTGTAGGCATAATTCAGATTATACAATAGAGTATCGTAGAAGAGTGCATTATCCGTTCCTTTCAAGAGAGACTTAAGTTCAGTTATTAATGTGCTAAAACGGTATATAAAAGGTATGTATGTATGTGTTTTGCTTTTGTCTTATTGAGCACATTTAAAATACTTGTTTGTTAGACTTCAATTGCTAGAAAAGTACTACAATCTACTATATAGAATATCGTGGAGTGAAGAACTCGGAGAACTTCAAGGTATTTACAAATAATTTGTTTAGGATTTGTTAAATGTTCGCTTCATGATAATGTATGTTAAAGTTTTCATTTATTTTGCACACTTTCTTCACACATCTGTTTTTTATTTGTAATATGAATCATGAAATTCTTTGTGCTTTTAATAATTATGAATCTACTGTAATATTGCAACTTTCGGCTCACTGGAACATCTAAAACAAAAGTTCCTTTGGTATAATCAGACAAATAAAGCCAGAAAACTAAAACTATTCAAGTGTGCGATGTTCTTTTATTTAAATGTATTGGTTTTATTGCCAGGCATACATATTTTGTAACTTTCTTGAACAATATTTTGTATTTTCCATTTAGATACTTTTTTTTACTGTTTATTTTAGTTATTATCAGTTTCATTCGCATAATTCCTACTCCACGTTTTGGCAGTGAACCTGAGCTTTCTTCTTCGTTTTCGTGATCAATTTATATTACACAAACATTTCCTTTAAATATCTTGTACACAATTTTATTCAAATCATTTTTAGGTCGCTACAATATTTAAGCACACGATGAGAACATAGATTTATATATTATGATAGTAAATGTATAATGATTTGTTTAAAATAAATACAATTAAGCACACATATGCAAAACAAATTATTAGCAAACAACCAGAGTTTCTTCTATTTAATCATTATTATTTATGTTTTCCGTTTTTTTTTTTTTAGTTTCAACTACAAACGCTCTCGGAAAACTCAGCTTGCATAATTACTAAACAATTTCATTTTAGTTTCAGGCCATTAATTATACACATAATGTATATTTATTTATTTATGAAATATCATCACAAAATTGATGAATTTATGATTTAAATTTTCTTATGGCTAACGATGCATTTTATCGGTGTGGGTTTAAATTAAGACTAAACTTTGAAATTAGCAATGCAGATACAAATTAAAACCTAATAAAAAAAGAGGAATTCTTCAAAACTATAATTCAAGTGTATAACTTTTATTCTTTGTTCTTGTGTGGATCTTAAAGCAGCTAAACTTATATATTAATTGTATTTCGCTTGCATATTTTAGTTAGTAAATATGTATGTATTTTGTATGTTTGATGATGTTTTTTTTTTTAACTTTTATTGTTTTATTTTATTTTGTTTCCTGTTTTTTTTTTTTTTTTTGTTAAAGAGCCAGCGATTTACAGCGTTTTTGCTCGATCCAAAAGATCACTGATGAATTTTGATATGTCCGAGGGCGGGCGTTTGCAAACTGACAGTAATCTCTGAATAAAGAGAAAAAATATTATTATTCAGAGTTATTATTTAGTAAGAAAAAAAAGAAGAAAAACTCACACTAAGATGAGATCTTCTTATATCGTCTGTGTCCATATCCAAAATCTCATCAATGTCCACATCGATGGCCTCGCTCTGCACAAGATAAAAAAACAAATTGTAGAGCACACAAAAAATAAAAGAATATAAATTAGTCACTTACCGGTGGATCAAAGAGCTTCTGCAGCTCATCGTATAGCCACATTTCGACGGCCAGTCGCTTCCTGATCAGGCTCATCTGATGTGAACCATATTTGGCTGTGAGGAACTTCTCCCTTCGCTCTTTAACCTCCTTGCCCTTCTCATTGAAGTTGACGCGCAGATTTGTTCGATTTGGCGAGCGTTCGCAATCGTTCATTTGTTCCAGGCCGCACTGCATCTTGCAGTTGTTATTATTGTTGTTGTTGGTGATTGGCGGTTTATTAGTATGAGTGAACACTGCAGCGTTTATTGAACCTGCAACAGTGAGCACAATTAATTGGCGTTGCTGTAATTGAGAGCAGACAGAAATTGGTCGTTGAAATAAATCCATACACGCACACATGTTTATATATATGTGTATATATATATATATTAATCAATTGAAGCCTGTTCACTTTGTAATTGAATTAAATGTTATATTATGTAATTGTAGTTGATGCGTCATACGAGAGGCCCACTCGATACCCATACCCCCGGCCCCAAATCGAATTCCAGTTATTATTGGGCGTTTTGGCCTAAAGGCATTTTCAAATTCCCGCACCTATGAGTCAGACCAACAGCTCCCCATACCGAAAAAGAGAGTTGTAGATAGTGAGGGAGTGTGGGGGAAAGTGAGGGAGAGTGGAGGAGAAGCAACTCCTCTGCTTTGGCCTGGCTCTGCCGCAAAGCCCATAAACTCTGACTGTGATTCATGCTGTGGGTTGTGGCTGCAGCTGTTCTGTTGCTTTTATCTATGGCCAAGATTTGGCATGCGAATAAATGCTCACATTCCACTTATCTGCAGCTCTGCCCACGTTTCACAGTTAATTAAATTAATGTGTAATGCATGTAATATGAATGCTTCTCTGATTCGACTTTGGGGTCAGCATGACATTTGACTTTTTTTGTGTGACATGCGGGACATTTACCATTCACACACAAACACACACGTCACACACACTCACACTCACACACGCACGCACTTCAATGTCTAACTTGACAGATTATCAGAAAAACTTTCGAGAGATATTTATATAGAAACATATGTGCTCATAGTTACAAGTTGTGGTTGGGAAATATGAAAAACAACATAATTTGTTAGTGAGGAAGATTAATGAAAGCAGTCATAAAACTTATAAGCTTCTAGCTGTCCGAACTTTTTAACTTTTTATTTGAAAATAAGTATACAAAACTCAATATGTTACATTTTTGATAATTACACTTAATCAGGAGTCTGTACTAAACGAATGGATTAACTAAACAATAATATATCAATATGCCTCTTATATTTAATCATTATTTCTTGGCAAAGCAAAATTAGTAATCGCTGTTTAAAGTCAAATTAGTAATCGCTGTTTAAAGTCAAATTAGTAATCGGACAGCCAAGTAAATTTGCCAGTTCCTTATAATTTTAAGTTAAACTAATTCTGGGAAAATATAATATATGTGCCTTCAACAATTCAGAAATTCAGGTTCTGAGTGAGAAAAGTATTTTACAAATATTATTCTTCAGCTGTGAAAATAAACAAAAGCCAGACAAGTATTTGGATGGGAAATGTTAACGGGTAAAATCTGTTGTTTTGTGATTTTTTTATTTGCAGTATTTACAGTTTTTCAGTACTATAATAAAGTATTTTCAGGTAATTTAGTATTTTTATATACAAAGATTTTGGTGCGTTATTGACAACTTGCCTGCGTTAAACATACATTAATATTAATAATGTGCTGACGAGATCAACCTTATATCAATCTGATATAAAGAAATGAGTTCAAAAAATCTCCTAGACAAGAACACTCGGTTGTTTTAAATCTTATTTGTTTATGCTTGTGGTAAATGCCAATTTTAATTTGTAATTGAGACGCGTTGCGGACATAGAAATTGGTCAAATCAAGTTAATTGATTCGTGGTGCATTTCAAAAGCAATTTCCAGTCCAAATTGGCCGAGTTTGTTAGTATGTTCGTTGGGGCTCTCAAGGAAGGGGGAGGGAGAGGAGAAGGCGGATTCTCTAATTTGAGGCTAGTCACATTTCCTTTCACAACGTATTAGCCAACAAGCAGAAGAACGTAAGCACGGGTAAAATTGAATCAAATCAGATATGTTGTCAAAATGGCAAGTGGACTGGAGGCATACATGTGAAAATATGCAGTGTGGTGACCCATCCCGGAAGTTTCCGCAACGCTGCACAGTCAGCAGTCAGTGTGATGGATACGGGGAATAGTGGTGGGCGGATGGGAAAACTGCGGCGTCTGTCGACAGTTACAATGTTGTTACAATTTTTCGTAGCTACCCAGCAATTGCTGTGTGCATGCAACGTGTTGCATGTTTAAATTTTGTTGTTATTTTTTTGTTGTTGATGTTGTTGCGGGCATTTCAACATCATACTTATGCAAAGCTATTGTTGATGTTTGATGTGGCAAGCAATAATAATAAAGGCAGCACTCACATACTATAATCTACCCACTTGTAATCATAACAAAAAAGAAAAGAAAAAAATGTAGCCAACGTTCAAATGCCTTTCAACTTGTTGTCGTTCTTATCTTTGGGAAAAGCGAAAATTCTTTAGATAACTTTCCTATGCAAAGTAAGTTTCCCAGCTGCCCCAGATGGGGCTAAAGTTAAGCGACGATTTGATCTATGAGGCATGAACACCGCGCAGTAATCAGTGCAACGCCTGAGAACTGAATAAATGCTATCATATCATGTCAACGGGCCATCATAATGGTTAGCACCATCCTAACTACTAGGCCAACGGATCTACACAATTAGGGCCGATGTAAGGCAATTTCCGGTATTAAGCATACACGAAAAGAAAAAGCAAACGAAAAACCCACCATACAAATAAAAAAAAAACCTTGTCCAAGCTATTTTGCTTCAACTGTCTCGTATTACTTACTATGCGATCCGTTCTTGGGGACATGTTGCCTCTCTTTCCCCCTCTCAGTCTCAGTCTCTCTCTCTCTCTCTCTCTCTCTCTCTCTATCCTTCTCTATATTTTTGTTGACGACTCGACATGCGAGTGACAAGTTAAACGTCAGTTTCATAATTGCTTATGACTCTTAAGTAAATCTGGTATCAGATTTCGCCAGAAACTCACACACAAGCTAACACACTGACACACACACGCACACTGCCACACACACATAATGAGCCCAATTGAATGGTGTGAAAAAGATAGCAATAGCTGAGAAGTGAACGCATAACTCAGCAAAACTGAACAACCATTGTTATTTTTAGTTAATGGTCGGAATACAATTTATTTTTTTTTAGATGCGGGAATTTTGTTGTTTTTTGTGTGTGTTGAAAATATTTCGCTTGCCACATGGCCCAAAAAATGCAGTTTGGCCAACAAGCGAAACTATTTCAATATTTGACTCTTGGCAATTCGATTTCAACTCCATATTGGAAAATGGAATTCTCCTAACCGAGTTGTGCGTGGGCTCAAATGGCAGCAGCCACAATTGGGGTATTGGTGCCAGGTTCGGGTTGTCCCTGTTGCCATTGACATTTTTGGCGTGTGTTTTTTGTTTTTTTTTTTGCCATTTTTTTGGGCCACGAAATATGGGTGAATAGAGACATCCATATGCTTCCCTTTTTTTCGTTCTTTTTTCTGTTCCTTTTTTTGTGTTTGGCGGCTGTTGAAAATGCTAACAAGGCCGTTAATAAGTTATATATATAAACATTGCACAAACTGCGAGCATTTTATATTTTTAACATGTCAAAATGTCAGCTTTTAAAAAAGTTTATAAATATCTGAGCAAGAGCGTGAAGTGAGGGTGATGTTTCAGCAAAGGTTTATTGAAGGGGTTTTGGACAAATAATAAAATGCAAGATATATTTAAATATATATATATAAAATAAACTAAAATTGTTGCAAAAATACTTATACTTTTTACATTTATAATTATACTGCTTTGTACGTGTTCTGATTCGTTTTTTTTTTCGTTTTCCATATTTATTGAACATATCTATATCAAGGTTTACTAATCATTTTATCATACTCGAAAAAGAAAAAACTGAACAGCTGGCAACAAACTTTGCTTTTCCATTGTTGTCAAGCCCATAAAATGATTATCAGCTGCACTCCCTAAATCATAACATTAATTCATATATATTGAATCCAGACAGCGGAACATATTATTAAAGTTTATCAAAAGGGTATACAAAATATTTAATTTCGAATCAATTGTGGCTAATCAAATTTGGTTGTACTTTGTCAAAAGAGATGAAACACGAGCCAATTAGCGAAACGCAAATTTGATGAGCCATCCATGTTTACGAGAACAAAAAGTGGAAAATAAAGAGTACTGCGGAATAACCGACAAAAACCTCCACTGCGTGGCTCAAAAAAAAATTAAAATAAATCAATAAAAAAATGAACAAATCGGTAACGACAGCTTCCATCTAATTGATTTTTAAGTATCACCAAATCTGAACGCCAGGGGGCGCCCTGAAGTGCGTTTTAGGGTCTTTTATGGCACATTGATTGTATATAAGTTTGTGCGTGTGTTTTTCTGTATTGTGCCCCCCGCTGCCCATTTATGGCAACATGCAAATAACGTGCCACAAACTCAAAAAGTGGCGCAATTGCCGTTAAGACCTTTTACGACGACGAGTTGACCAGATTTGATACAAATATTTTTATTTTTTTGGTCAGGCGCCTAGTTTTTAGATTTATGGGCAAGGCTTTCAGCAAAAATGTTATGCTAATTTGTAGAAAATTACCTCAGACGATTAATTAATTATTAATAGCTTAATGCATTTATGGTGTTGGTCTTGGAAAGTAGAGTTAATTAAGAGAGCGAAATAAATAATAATGATTGACTTTAATATATCCGGTATGGAATATAATTACTAATAATGCTTTATTATGTAATCGATCCTTTGATAATTGATATAAGTTATGTACATATGAAATTATTAAATTTTATTACATTCCCCTCGCAACTATCATCAGACATTTTAAGCATTCATATTATTCATTAAAATAATCTACTAAACACACTATTTTGATTTACAAATAGTACAGTTAACATTTGTCAACCTTAAAAATAGAATCAGAATTTAGTTTAAGAATTTTTTGTTTGGAATTCATCTTTGGATTGGTTGCGTTTCGACTAAATTCTCCACGCCTGCTGCTCTCGTGTGATATTCTCCAAGTGTTTTTGAATGGCTGCCAAAATAATTTTTTGGTTTTTTTTTTGTGTTCTAATGCGACGTAAGTTTTCGCATCATTAAAGCATTTGTGTGGTTTTATGGGCTTTATGTGAATAATACTTTTATACTGCTGCGCAATGTTCCAAATTGG